GGCTGTGTCCAATGAGTACAGGAGTTCAACAACACACACATGAAAAAACCCAGTCCCCACAGCTTTAGTCGTGTGCAGGTCTGCCTAAGGCAGGTTTTGCCTGTGGTCTGTGTAGCCAGCAGGCACCGTGGTGTTTGTACTTGATGGGGTACAAGATCTCAAGGAGCTTCTAATAGTGGCTGTAAATCTCAAATGCATGTATAATTCCCTGGAATTGCCAGTACCCTTACAAAAAAAGCTGTGGGCAAAGAATGACTGTGCCCTGGCAGAGATTGCCCAAAAGGGTGTGGAGTCTCCCTCACTGGAGACAGTCAAGAACCATCTGGTGCAATCCTGTGCCATGAGCTCTACTGTGACTCTGCTTGAGCAGGAAAATTGCTTGAGCAGATGTGACCTACTGTGGTTCCTTCCAGCCTGGCCTAGTCTGTGAATTTCTGCAAGATAGGTAACTGCCTTAACTGTGTGTTTGATGATACTCTTGGTAAAACAACTGTGATTGCATCAGTGTATATTAACTTCCGCATGGAGGTTAATAGAGGCCACATTTGGTGTTTGGCTGTAACAGTAATAAACTGTCTTTCTAAAACTGTCTTTCATTTTGCAGTCTGATCTCCTATTGGGCTTTCTGGACGGTCTGGACCCAGAGTTGTTTCTCAAATATGCTGATTCAGAGTCAACGTGCCTGGAAAAGCTGGACGAAGACATCTCTGGAGAAACAAATTCCATACCAACCGCCCTCTCTCCCTCTTTGGGGTCCCCATCAGCGAAGCTGGAAGCCATTAATGAACTCATAAGGTTTGATCACGTGTATACAAAACCACTAGTAGTGGAGATTCCTGTTGAAGTGGGCAACCAAACCAATATGCTAGTGAAAATTGAGAAAGAAAATCTCTCTTCATCTGATGACAAGGCCATCCCTGAAGTCCCAGTGTCTGTGAAGAAGGAACCTGTAGACAGCTTCATGCCTGAACTGGGCTTTTCTCATCTGCTTTCTTCTTGTCATAGCCTTGAAGCCCCAAGCTACCTGTTGGATGGCTGTAGTGACTCTGGGTATGAAGGATCCCTGTCGCCCTTCAGTGACACATCGTCTCCGCTTGGCCCTGACCATGTGTGGGAGGATAGCTTTGCCAAGGAACTCTTTCCCCAGCTCATCAGTGTCTAACCTGGTAGTGTTAACTCCCTGTGAACAACTGTCCTGGCAGGAAATCAGCAATGCCCCTTTGGGGTGTTTATGGGGTAAATCAACTCCATCCAGAAAAGTGTTTCTCGTATTCACCATGCTAGTAGGTGGCATGATGGTATGAAAAAGCCTGGGGTGTCCTGCCCTGGCTCCCCCCAGTCAGTGTTGGCTTAGGAGAGAGGCAGGTTTGTTTCTCAATAACTTGCTCATTCTCTGTGAACCTGAAAATGTTTTGTTTTCCAGTTAAACTTTTTAAAACCAAAAACTAAAATGGGATATTCATGTATAGACAACTGGGCTAGACCTTAATAGTCTCTAAGTCTTACAGCTTCACTAAATGCTTGTTTTCCATTTGCTATGTAGAGTTGCTTTGTCCGTTTAATATTTAACTGTATTGGTGCAATTAAAATGCAGTGCAGCTCACTGACCCTGTTTTGCCTTAGAACTCAGTGGGGAGGGAGAGTGTCTGGGCTTTGGAGAATTTAAATCGGGTCCCTCAATGTCTCATCCTGCCACAATGCATGGAGGAGCACTGCTCATAAGGTGTCTGCAGCTGGATGCTTCAGCAGTTCCCTTTTGGGGGCACTGGATGTGGTGGACAAGGTTGTGTGATGGCCAAAGCTACTAGAGGAAAACCTTTATCCTCTGTAAGGCAGAGAGGTGGTAGGAGCTTGGAGTCTGAATATTCAAAAGTCAGGGCAGTGCTGGCACCCTGGTGGCCAGCAATGCTGTCCAAATATCTCAGTATGAGGGGAGGTGGGTGTGAGACAGACACAGTGTGAAAACTGTTGTAGATTCTGTATTACCACAGGAAATCCTGAAGTATCAAATGGACTTGTTAGGAGCTAATATCAAATACCACAGCAGGACTTCTCATTCTTCACATCCATTTGCTCCAGTATCCAGAATTTATCACAATATTAAAAACACTGGGAGAGACAGAAGAAATTTTATACTGAAGATAAGAGAGCTGTTGCAGGTGTTGGCACAGCTGTTCTTGGTTTCAGTGCTATTTCACGTTTTGCATTCAATTTTGGCAAAAATAACTTGGGGTGGGGAAGAAAGAAAACCAGAGATGTTTCAGTCAGTAACATTCAAGGTGACAGGACTGCCTTGGATTACAAGCTTGAGTAACCTAGCTTATAATGAAGGATTCCACCTTCACTAAATAGTGGGTAGAATAAAGACTGCAGCTGTGTAATATAACAAATTTAGATAGAAAATCCAAGTAATCAGAAGAATAAGTTGCTTTACTTTCAAGGTGGAAAATAGGGATGACTGCAAGAGTATCAAATTGTTGGGAATCCAAAAAAAAGCAAAAGTGAAGATTTGTGCTGTAGTTTTGCAATACATTTTGTTAGCACCCTTTTATGGAGCCCCAGCCCTTCCTGGCAACTATGAGCAAGCCATTTCAACATCTAAAAAATCCAGAGAAAATTGTATTACAGTCTCCTTTCCATCACAGCAGGACATGGGATGTGCTTAACATTTCAACCTTGTTAAGCACAGGAGACAGAAGTGTTGAAGGACATGGTCTTTACACTGTTTTGCTTCCCCTTTTCAACTTAAGGGCTCTGTCCTGCCATGCTTTATCCTGATTTACTGCAAGGACTGTGTCCCACAGGAAGGTGTTTATAGTTACTGAGACCTCTTCCACTAAAAATACAGAACTAGTTCTTGTTTGGCATCTAGAAGCCTACTACCATTCAGAATTCCTGTAAGCACTAGTATTTTCTATTAGGATCAAGTCCACTAAGATGGTACACAAAAAAAGCGAAAATTTTACCTTTCAACAAAATAACTAAAATCTGAATTTAAAACTCTTCTCAAACATTCCTTAACTTTAAGAACACCTAGCTTGAGTACTTCTGAAGAGTTTTATTCTGAAGTAAAATGAAAGCTCTCAAAACACAAGCTATAGCAACACTTACTGGTACCCCTATTGCTTTGTCAGAGGCCTTTGGGTCATGACAGACTTAAAATAACTCTTCCTTCCTGGCAGCTTCAGGTTTATTCTGCTGTTGCCTTTCCTTGTCCTGCTGAATACTGTGAAGGAAAAAACAGGCATGCCTTTGACAAAACATAGTTAAATTCAAATCTTGTTAAGCCAGAAGAGTACTTTACTGTCCAGCTGAAGGACTGCACATAGGCTCCCAAGGTTTTGTCACTCTTACCAGGAATGAAACAGTCATCTAAAAAATATTTTAGAAAATTTATTGAAAACTGACATACAAAGGGTGATTTGGTCCCAAGAGAAGACAGACCAGAATCAGATCTTTCGTATTTCAAAATAATGTTTTTCCTAATACTGCATCGCATTTGCCATCCTGTTTGTGAACAGCATTAATAAAAGTCTTTTAATGAAGACAACAACAAATGAAACTCACAAATACAGAAGTCTGTAAATGCCCACAGCTTGATCTCTCATCCAACCACCCTCTCCAAGTGATTGCTGTAGCAAGGATCTTGCTCAGTGCTCCTGTCACTTGGTTCCCACTCTTCTATCAATTTAAGCAACTCAGCCTCACTGTCTCCTATCACAAGGGCAGAAATGCATTGTGAAAAAATGAATGCAAATGTTTTCTATCAAAGCAAACTTCTCAAACTATTTTTTTCTCCATTTCATACTCTTTGTCAACAGTGCACCACTGTATTCTTGTTTTAGATGGCAGGTAAAAGGTCAGTGATGCCCTACTGGCATTGAATTAAGAGGAAAGACACCTCTGAAAGTCAACCTTTGGTACAAACCTAGCAGGAAAAAAGTATGCTTAAAAGCCATCTACAACAATTTCTTATTCTGCAAATCTGATATGCAATTTGGTGTTTTTAAGAGGAAAACAACTGCATCATTTGATGTATTTAGGCCTCCCAGAGTTTTTTTTACATCTTCTGTCACAGTTTCAGTGTTGCTGAGATGGTTTCATTGCATTTTTGAAATATTCATCCTTTTTTTTCAGTTTATTTAGGATTCAGACCTTTCACTTAAAATACTTCCAACTTTGAACTTTCACTATAATCCAGCAAGCTGAAAACCAGTTACTTACTTGGAGGCATCACATTTTCTACCTGCAGTGACTACAGCCTTCTCCAGACTGACTGCTTTATGTTCTACTGAAGCACTGGAGCATGTCAAAGGCTGTAGGTCTTAAACATGTTCAGCAGCTTAATAATATGTAAGAAATTTTACACAGTTCATGCAAAAGATTTACAGCAGACCCTGAAATGAAATTAGGCATTATAGCAAGATAGGCTGCCCATGTTCTTCAACTTAATAAACCTTCCAGAATGGTACAGGTGTATACTGGTTTCCAGAGTAATACCTACTCAAATGCTAGAGTGTTCTTAGTGAAACTCTAAAATGTTTTACCAAGAGACAGAAAATTTCAGACAACCTTCAACAAAAGCAGCAAGATAAACAGGGTTTAACAAACAGGTATCTTTTGAACAACCAGAAGGAATTAAAGGATGACTGCAAAAAGAGAAGACTGATTTTAAGCTTTCAGCTATGGGGGGGTTATTCAACAGTAAAGAATATTATCACAAGTTGTGCAGAAAGATTGATTTTAAGCTTTCAGCTATGGGGGTTATTCAACAGTAAAGAATATTATCACAAGTTGTGCAGAGGAAGAGTAGATTTTCTTACGTGAGCAGCTGTGTTACTGTGTACTTGCTCCTTTATGTCAGCAAGATGTCAAAACCAGATTGGGACATAGGACTCTGAACAGAACCTGTTACTTGGATTTCTTATGAAAAGCCTCAATTCAGGTATCTCTGAGAAAGCTCAAGGACTTAGGAACGAAAGATAAAACCCTGAAACAAGTTAGAGAACCTTAAGCATAAGGAACTGCTGTGCATTGAGAAAAGGTACAAGCAATAATTCATTGTGGACTCCTTTCCTTGGCACCCTGTGCAGGGTAGAAAATTCTTTTGGCATACATCTGTATAAACAATTTCTTGCTATATTATTGGCACATACTGTGGCTTAAATTTTATGTCTAAATTCTCTCAGGAAAAAGACAGGCATCTCCTTTACCTCACCACCAAAGTCACCTGGGACTTGGGTACAGATAATAACCCAGCATTTGACCCTCCTAATGGCAGCAAGCAGCCATTATCCCTGTTATCTGATTTACTTATCATGTTTACCCAAATTAACGGATGCTGTTCATTTCATCAGAAGTTACACTGTCTTCAACTGACTTTCCAACTCCATGCGTACAAAGAAGCTCAGCACAACGTAAAATGTGAATCTCTTTGCTGAGAACCACTTTCCTCCAAACTCTGCATTGTTTGGGGAGGGGAACATCAAAAACCACAAATAAAATTTAGAAGCCAATGAACCCAAGATGACTGAAATTAGCAAGTATCCTGCAAGTTTTAAGTGCTGGCTTTACTTTCTACAAAGCAAAAGACTTAAGCTCAGCTGTAATATTCCTTCCCTACCCCATGGATTGTGTAATTTCTACATCTGAGTTTACATCAAGTCCAAACAAATAAGATGATGTGAAAAGCTGTTATTACCAGAGGGACTGCTTTTCTATCCATGACTAGATTTGAAGATATTTCTTCCTTTACATTTTGTAAAAATTAAACCAAATGGCCAAGCATAGTTATGTGCACCAGTTTCAATGGCTCAGTAAGACAAAGGTGTGGCTTAAGCCACAGTTACATTCAGTATTTGGATTTTATGCTTTACCAAGGGCAATTAAGAGGATATTTCACCATTAAGCAAGATGGAAAGCTACTTCCCTGTTCCAAAGGCCTCTGAATTACCTTTTCAGTAAAAGTAAAAATATTTAACAGATTGGAACACAGAAATCTTAGGGTGTTTCCTGGCCACCCTATGATTGTGGTGTGCTTATGACTGTTAGTAAGAAAACAAAAAACAAATAATATAACTTCAGATTCACACATCAAACCAGAAAAAAATAATCAAAAAACATCAACAATAAGCATCAGAAGCTCACCACTTCCAGTCTAAAATCTGGCATCTACAACTCCATTTCTTCTTCTGCACACCCAGATATTCCCAAACTAGCATATGGATCTGGAGACATGGCAGTCTGTTGTGATCCAGAGAACGTTTCAGTCTGTGGGTCAAAAGGAGCTCTTGGTGTTGGCTGCTTAGCTTGACACACTTCTGTACTCTGCTGCTTGAAGTTCTTAACAGAAACAGACTTCAGTTTATCTGTCATAAATTCAGGAAGAGGTTTCCAAAGCACAAGCTCCATAGAAGGACGGCTCCTAGAAGGGATGGAGTTTCAGTAAAATTTAAGTTCTCCAAGCACAGCTATTAAATGCAGAAGACCTGTATCTTCATCCTTTGAGCTAGCCTGGAACCATATTCCAGAAAATATATACCTTTCTTCCCCCCCTATTAAATTTCCTCTTCCCTATTCCCTAGTTCCATTATTTCTAGTTCTAACCCTGTATTTCTCTCTTTTTTGCACCAAACTTGACCACCATTGGTCACACTTCAAGATCTTCTCATTTTGGAAATTCATGTACATAAAACCAAAACTGATACTGGTTCACTCAACAAATTTCACTCTGTAGACATGAGGAGTACAGAACACATACTTGATGACCACTACAGTTACCTTTGTTTCTTTTTTACATTAGGACAGTTTTTCCTATTTTTAACCAGATGAGTGGTCTGTTATACAATGTTGGCTGCATCATGCAGTAATCAAGGACATCTCCATAAACATGAAATGAGGTCTCTCTTTTCAATTGCACATGTTAGCTACATAGCACCATGATTTCCTCCAGAACTTACATAGATTCTATTATTTTCTTTGTCAGGACTTCACCAAAATCCCTCTTCATCCCTTTCTTAAGGGTATCTGACAGGATAAGAGTGGGCAGATTGCTAACATTTCCATCAGCATGAACTTCCTCATCTTCATCAATTATCCTAGGAATGGAGGGGGAAGAGGGAGATAAACACTATTGAGCATACTGTTATCAGGAACATCCACTACAGTCACATCTACGTGCTCTGCTCTGTGCAGATCTCTCACCTAGGCTGGGTACCAGAAGCAGCAGGGCCATGTTAACATGAGTCTCTCTTGGGCCAAAACACCCTGAGAAGGACTCATCACAGAAGCCACTCGAGCAGCAATGCCACTCCTGGTACCTGAGCTAGCTTTGTTACCCCTGTGTTATCCCAGCAGTGTCAGTGCAAACATACACTGAGAGAAAATAAACCAATTCCCTCCAAGGGAAACTGTGTGATTCAGTCACATTACACAAGTGAGTCTCAGCTATGCAGCTGCTTCACCTGCTCAATGCCCCAAAACTGGACTTTGAGAATTATTGCAAAGGTAGTGCTTCACTTTTCACAACGCTGTGCCAGTTTCTGAGATTAAATCAGCACAAACTGTTGAAATGTTTAGAACAAATGGAAGCATCTCTTTTGGTTTTAGTTTTACAGAAAATTTAGCAGTGTAGCTGGGAAGAATAGGGAATAATCGTCCAAGAAGACCAAAGCAGACACAGACAGATAATAGATTTCACTACTCTGATTTACCCATTAAAAAAAAATAACATTCCAACAGTACCTTGCTTCGCCTTATGCATCATCTATGGAGTAATCTACAACAAAATCTTGTTTTAAAATTTCTATAACTTTTGGCTTTTCTAATCATCTGCAGTGGTCATTTTAGATACTTTGGAATACCAGCTCACCTGCAATCAACTGATACATACACACACCATTCCCAGAAATCTTTCAAGGGCCTGAATTCAGTAAAATTATTTAAAGACTACAGCAGACTGTCCACAGCCACCCAATTACCCCACATCACATCATCAGCAAGATCAATCTCAGCCTTACTGCATATGTGCAGAGAGACCTCTTTGGTTCATGCTACTCCCTCCACTGACAAATTCACATCTATTTAAAGTTTAAATCACAGAACAAGCTGCAGTTGGTAAAAAAAAAAACCAAAAAAACTGAGCTCAAGCCTAAGCAGGTAAATGTTAGAATTTGAGCTTCTGGATGCTCACAGAAGAGCATTAAACCAAATTATGGTATATTGAAGCTGGATAATGATTGTGAGCAGGGTGTTATTTACTCAGCATCTCCTGCTCTAGCACCATTTCAGATCAGCCTGAAGTCTCACAGGACCACAGGTCGCCTAAAATGAAATAATTTGAACAGAGGGTTCATCTCAGACTTACAGCAGTGTTATCACACTGCTAAGTGCTATATTTACCCCTGAATGCCCACCAAAAAAGGGAAAGCTCAGCAAAGCCAGGCTACTCAATCCCTGCATTTACCTGTCCTCAATTTCCTGAAGTTTCCTGCGAGCAACCTCGCATTGCTGTTCCCCCATTGTCTGATCCATTTCTTCACAGGGAATTTCTAACATGGCAGTTTCAGGACCGCTGCCACCATACTGACTTGCTACCTCCCCAGCTGCCTGCTGACCTGCACAAAGAATCCATTCTTCAGTGTTGGGATTCAAAGGGCAATTTTTGGCTCCTGTCAGTCTCTTCTTCCGCACAGGACAGCTAGGAAACAAAGGAAGTTTACAACTGTCAAAAAAAGAAACGTGGCATTCTACAGGAACAAATGTAAAGTGCATTTCAGCAGCATTGACACACTATGGCAATGCAGCCTCAACAAAGAAAATAAATCCACATTGCTCTTAGTAAAATGTGAGTACCTATTCAGGAAAGTCAGTGCCACACAATTAATTAGGTAGTAGAAATGGATTTTGGCTCATGTGCAATTCAAGGGAAGAGTTCCAAATGGAAACAATGATAGATTTCCTTCCTGTTTGTATTGTAGGTGAGATGTGCTCAAACAAAACAAAAAGCAAATTGGGATTTTTCAGGCTAAAAAAGACAAATTAATTTACCCTTCTGCCTCTTCTTCTAGCTTATGCTTCTTTCCACATCGCACAGAGACACTACAAAAGAAAAACAGTTACTCAGCTTCAAATTGTATCCTTTGGTTACACTGATATTGTCAAACAGTATTTTCCTCCCTTTTAAAATTTCATCTGAGATCAACAGTCACAATATGTCACCAGCTGTGATGGGAACAAACGTTTGGGACAATAAATAACCACTTTGTTACAAAGGAAGTCAAAGGCGGCTGTAATTACTCAGTTCTCTGAACAGAATTCCACGTTAATTTATTCTCCTTTCGTTATTTAGTTTTCCACAAGAGGCAAGACCAATTTTTGCTAAAATTCAAATGCTTCAAGAAGCAAAACATGACCCAGCTTGAGTCTCTTAATACTCTGTATCAGAGGAACACACTGAAAAAATACTGAAACAAATAGAAGAGATTGAAAGTACGCAAAGATACTGGCACACTCGATCACCTTCCTTGCCTTTCAAAAGGCTCCTTCACCCCCACCAGCCAGCTTCAAGGTCCTCAGCAGAGCACAATACAATTTTCTAACCTCCTACCAGCGCAACACTGCTACAAGGAAACAAATCCCAGCCGCCTCGCAAAGCACCCGCCGCGGTTCCCCACTGCCGGCGCTCCGGCCTGGCCCTGCGGGACGGCTCTGGCACTTACTGGCTGCGGCTCCTGCTGAAGGAGCTCACCGGGGCCACCGTCAGCCCCTCGCTGTGGCTCCCGAGCGCGGCCAGGGAGGCCAGGTCGAAGCTGCTCTGCAGACAGAAGCCGGAGGATCCGTCCACGCCGTCGTTTCCGATCCCTGCCATGACCATCCCGGGTGGCTGCAGACGGCCGTGGCCGCCGACTAAGGGCTGCGGGCCGTGGCGGTCCGGAGCGGCGGCCGGCGCTGTGGGGAGCTCCACGGCCGGGCCCGCCGGGATGCCCTGGCAGGATCTGCCTAGCGCTGCCATTTCCTGCTGCGGGGCAGAAAGCGCACATCAACGCCGCAATCCGCGCTGCGCCACGCGCCGGCCCTGCCCGAGGCGCTCCCGCAGGAGCCCCGCACGAAACCTCCTCCGCCCGCAGCGCTCACCCGGGCCGAGCCGGGCCCGCGGCTACGGCCGCCGCTACTGCCCGGGTCCTTCCAGGCCTTTCGCCGCTATCGATAGGGACCCGCGGGCACTGTGGGAGTTGTAGTCCCGGGCACTGGGAGACCTCTGGGAGTTGTAGTCCCGAGTGCTGTGGGACTTGTAGTTCTGGGTGCTGTGGGAGACGCGCTCTGGGAGCGGGGTCCCCGCCGCGGCCCGGGAGGGCGCCGCGGGGTCCCCGCCGCGGCCCGGGAGGGCGCCGCGGGGTCCCCGAGGAAATCCGAACAGCCCCTCTCTTGTCCGTAGCCCGGCTTAATCCCCGCAGCGGGGCGGGCACGGTCCGGCAGCCAAATCCCGGTCAGCTGAGGAGCTCAGGCGGGCTCGGGGAGGTGGCGAGCGGAGCTCCGGGCGGCAGGAGGGAGGGATGGCGCCCAGGAACACGGTAACCACCCTTGTCTTTAGTTGCGGGAGGCTGCGGGTTCTGCGCGGAGTTAGAGAAGGACAGTGTATTACACAGTGTAAGAGGTGGGAAAGCTCCCTGAGGCTGCTGTGAGGCTTTATCGAAGTTGGACATCCCTGTCACAAAAAAGTTCGGAATCGTTGTGGAGAGTCCCAATGGGCGGGGAGAAAAAAACACCAAAACCAATCAAACAAAACAACAAAAAAAAAGTAAAGCTGTGTCTTAATACATTAGTAACTTAAGTTTTTTGGCACCTTTTTTTTTTCTTTTTTATTTTTTTTTTCCCCTGTAACGTAGTTTATTAAATTTTGCAAAGGAAATGTAATTCAGCCCATGCTCAGAATGGAGCACCAGCCCCTGCTCAGAGGGTCTAGCTCGCCCTGCAAGGTAAGCAGAACCATCCTGAAGGTGGATCCTGCAGGGAGTTTGTGGTTTTAGCAATGATGTACACATGTGAAATGTGCGGGAATTTCATGGCAGCTTTTGAGTAGAAATACATTAAGGGATTAGACTCGTAAGGTTTTGTGCTTTCCTTGGACACCTGGCTGTGGTAGAAAGTGGAAGCTATAAAAGCAGCTTTCTGATTCTAATGTTTTAGCGCCGCGGGGTCCCCGCCGCGGCCCGGGAGGGCGCCGCGGGGTCCCCGAGGAAATCCGAACAGCCCCTCTCTTGTCCGTAGCCCGGCTTAATCCCCGCAGCGGGGCGGGCACGGTCCGGCAGCCAAATCCCGGTCAGCTGAGGAGCTCAGGCGGGCTCGGGGAGGTGGCGAGCGGAGCTCCGGGCGGCAGGAGGGAGGGATGGCGCCCAGGAACACGGTAACCACCCTTGTCTTTAGTTGCGGGAGGCTGCGGGTTCTGCGCGGAGTTAGAGAAGGACAGTGTATTACACAGTGTAAGAGGTGGGAAAGCTCCCTGAGGCTGCTGTGAGGCTTTATAGAAGGTGGACATCCCTGTCACAAAAAAGTTCGGAATCGTTGTGGAGAGTCCCAATGGGCGGGGAGAAAAAAACACCAAAACCAATCAAACAAAACAACAACCAAAAAAAAGTAAAGCTGTGTCTTAATACATTAGTAACTTAAGTTTTTTGGCACCTTTTTTTTTTCTTTTTTATTTTTTTTTTCCCCTGTAACGTAGTTTATTAAATTTTGCAAAGGAAATCTAATTCAGCCCTTGCTCAGAATGGAGCACCAGCCCCTGCTCAGAGGGTCTAGCTCGCCCTGCAAGGTAAGCAGAACCATCCTGAAGGTGGATCCTGCAGGGAGTTTGTGGTTTTAGCAATGATGTACACATGTGAAATGTGCGGGAATTTCATGGCAGCTTTTGAGTAGAAATACATTAAGGGATTAGACTCGTAAGGTTTTGTGCTTTCCTTGGACACCTGGCTGTGGTAGAAAGTGGAAGCTATAAAAGCAGCTTTCTGATTCTAATGTTTTACATTGAATACAAATTGAATTTTGTTTGTGTCATGTTTTTGGAATGAAGTGAACGCCCTTATAAGCTGTCGAGAGTTCAGAACCACGAGGCTGTTATCTGTGCTCTCTCCAAACTCCAGTGTGAGACAGCATACCAGTGTCACGAGCCCGGCTGATTTGGGCAGGAAGAGCAAAAGATCTGTCATAATAAAACCTAAGTTATATGATGTATGTTCATTATTTTGGGTTGTATGTTTGTTTATTTATTTTCTGTCCCTTCTAGATTCCCAGTTGTACCCATAAAACACACAAAATAGGTTTACAGTACTTAATTAATATAAGGGTCTGAGTGTGCAGTGCCACATTCCAAAACATCAGTTTTGGTTTTTTCTACCATACCCACTGCAGCCCTTACTTATAACACTTAGTTCATGGCTTTGATTGACATTCAGAGAAATACTTTTTATTCTTGGAAACTGTAAGGAAATGTTAATTGGATTTTACTTTAATAAGATCAATTTCAGCTTGCAAATTTCAGGGAGGGAGGAAGGAAGGAAGGAAGGAAGGAAGGAAGGAAGTTTTGATGAATTATCTTTAGGAAGGACACAGCTCTGTCAGAATACAGTACAATATCTGGAATAACTCAGCATTTCTGGGAACTGGACCAAGAATGAGAATGATGAAGAATTAGTCTACACACTTTACAATGAGAAATTCAGGGAGTACAAGTTTATTAAAAGAAATATGTTCAGCCTTTATATATGAAGGGGAAATTTGATCACTGAAGTGTCTTTAATATAGGAGATGTTGTTGTGTACAGCTGGACTTGATCAATAAGATAGTCTGAGATTAAATTAGGACCTAATTTAAAAGGAAAGGTTTGCTAGACATTTGAACTGGATGTTATTTTTAGTATGATCATATTCAATAAAAAGTAAACTCAGAGAGCACCTCATGAGAATATCAAACACTGTATAAATCTCTGGAGATATCTGGCCATATCCAAAGTATGGTTTATGAGCAGTTAGATTCTTGTGATTTGGATGTATCACAGCAGTAGTTTGTGTTGACTTTAAAATCTGTGAATCTGTGACTCTATGAATTTTAGTTTGTGAATACTGATTTGAGACTGTAACTAGGTCATAGATATTGAAAAATTTTAAAAATACATGCTAATAAACTTTAAATTTAATATTCTTGCCAGTGACAAATTATTGTGAATGGGGTACTAATGCTTTGCCCCTGCCAACTTGCAGACATTGAGTAATCATTTTAGGGACTTAAAATATAGCTTAGAGGGAAATAAAACATTGTTGCTTCTCACACCTTGATTAAAATGTGACTCACAGAAATTGAGATTTGGTTAATTCTTATACTGGGTCCTTGTGTTTCTAACACCAGACATAAACAATCCTAGCATTCTTTCATTAAAAACAGGCACTGTGAGCAGTGTGGCTTATGCAAAAAGCATTTACTCAGTTTCTAATAACAGCTGTAATGGTTTTGTTGCCTACACTTAATCTGGAGACTTGTAATTGTGGTATTTCTGAAGGCTGTTAATGATCAGGGCCAAAAATAGCCTGAAATGCTTCTCCTGCTGCAGGTGTTCAGGAGTTCAGGTGGTTTTTTAAACTAATACTTTGACTGCTCCAAACTAAATACATGATGTATTTCACCATAATTTTCCTTTAGATATTACATGTGTGTGGGCTCAGGGTCCTGTCTCTGTTTATGCCCATGATTTTCTTTTGCTCCCCAGCTCCCCAGCTGGACGTTGTTCCTGGCTGTTTGTGCTGTTGGAATTGGAGGCACCTTTCAGTATGGGTACAATGTCTCTATTATCAATGCACCCACGCAGGTAAAAGCTCATCTTTTGTTCCCTGGGCTCTTTCCTCTCTGAACTTGGCCACGAGGCCAAATGTGCCTTTGCTGTGATCACAGTGGGAGCTGAAGCACTCTTCCTCTCATGTGAAGGAATCTTGTTCATTTCCTATGTGGTTTCATGTGCATTTGTTTGTGAGTACGTCCAGTCAGAGCTATTCTATGTCAGACAAAAGTGCTAAATAGGCCACATAAATACCTTTATTATTAGAAAGATTAACTGAATAAGTAATATATTTTTTGGTTACTAAAATCACCCAAAACCCTAAGGGTAGAATAGACCTGAACATTTTCAGTTGGAAGGGACCTACAATGACCATCTAGTCCAACTACCTGACCACTTCAGGGCTGACCAAAAGTTAAAGCATGTTACTAACAGCAATGTCCAAATGCCCTTGGAGCATTGACCACTTGTTTGGAAGCCTGTTCTTCTGCTTGACCCCCCTTTCTGTAGGATATCACCACTTTTTCTCCAAATGTCAAGTTTAATCCTCCCCTGACACAACTTTGAGCCATTCCCATTCCTTCTATCACTGGATAACAGGGAGAAAGTACAGTTACTATTTACAGGTAACCATCACAAGGCAGATTACTGAAAAAGTCCTTCTTAAGGAATTAAAATGTTCCATCTGTAGTGGCTGAGTATCTTGAAGGTGTTTTCACTTGTTACTTGAGCGTTCTTTGCTGTAGCCTCCAGGATTCTGCATATTTTGTGGATGACTCAAGGATCTAAGCCAATGTTCTTGTGAAAGTGATGGGTATCAGCTTTTGCTACCAGCTGATTTATTTGCTTGGGAAACTGTGAAGATTGAATTTGCAACCCTGTATGTTTTTTACAAAGCTTAAAAGAAGCTGTTTGTGAAAGAACATGTCATATGCTGGGAGCAGAGAGATAGTCCAAGCAGTTTGTTCTTCTGTAATCTGTGTTTGCAGGCAAAGAGGAAGAGCCTCTGATTACAGATACATGCCAGTTCAAGAGTTTCTAAAGGCAAATTTTAAAAAACCAAGCATGTGGAATAACAGCTTCAAAGTTCTGACACACGAATACTGTAAGGTGGAGTATTATTAGAGTTGAAAAAGCCATTTTACTCTTTTGGATTATACTAAGGCAGGGAGATTTAAATCAAGTGTCAGAATGAGTCCCCTGACAGTAAAATTTTTTAGGTTGAAAGGTCTCTGTGCTCTGAGATGTTCCTAAAAACAGTAGGGCCAGCCATCCACCCTGTTCCTCTTCTTGTTCAGAAGGACCTCAGAGCTCTCTCGTGGCAGTGCATGTCAGGGTTGTGTTTCCCCTCTGC